CTACTAGATTGGAGGCCATCGCTAGTAGGTTGGAGGCCATCGCTATCGCATTCACAATACACTTTGTTGGATCATTGCAGTTTGTGTCTCGCATCATGAGGCATCCCAACCAAAGCTTCCACACCCGCGATGTAAGCATCGTTTGCCTCTGCCCTCGTAGGCTCTTCAGTTGAACGCATTCGAGCTGTGGCTGAGTTTTACTAGGCCCAAATGCAAATGTGACGAATTGGCTTTGATTGGGAAGGAATACAGTTTGCTCAGCTTCTGAAAGTTGTGTGTGTGTGCTTCCTGTCTTCACCTCTCAATGCGCAGCTTGGCCTTTGGACTGAAAAGCAAAGTAGAGGATTGGAAGTTTAAAACAAATGTGGCGTTCTCCATCGTCAATGTTTCACTTGTTCTTAGTGGATCTCATAGATGTCCATGAGTGATGCATACTGAAGGTTCACGTTGGTTTGTGATCTTGAAACGATGTCAAGAGACATAGTCTGGATTTCTCCATTTGCCACGAGCATTAAATGCTCCTGAAACCCTCCACTGTGCGTTGTGATCCACAGCCCAGTTGTAGCCACCTGGTCGCAAAGCTTTCCAAAATGACAAAGAACCCTGACATGTGATGTTCCTCCAACCTGAAAAGAGCAAGCTGCACAAGCATTTGCCAAGAGGCGTCGCTTGAAAGGATCATGAGTCTTGGTATGGTCTGCAGGAACAGGACCGATTCCCCAGTTCAGACCTCATGGGTCGCAGAGGCTTGAGGTTGGGATGGAGTCATGGAAAGCTAAAACAAATGATAAAACTGTGCGAAAACATAAATTGTGTCTGACACTTGGCCAACAACCTCCCCAATCGCCAATGAAGAAAACTGGATTTCCAGTGGAGTAACCTGACCAAGAGTGGCTTTTTCCAAGCTTCCGCAATGGCGTGACAAGCGTATCAATCAACAAGTTCCTCTGGACCATCCATCAGGCACATACAGTATATTGTTCTTTCCGGTCAAGCAATGCCCAAGAGTAAACCAAGAAACAGAACGAAATGCATGGGCCTGCTTTTGTTGTTTGGATCTCACCTCTGGGCTAAGCTGTGCCAAGTATCGGTCAAAGGTGTCGTTCTTGAAGCAGGTCATGTTGATCGTAATGCCGTTGTAGTACTGAGGATCTCCTCCCACTGGGAACTTCTTCGGGTATCCTCGGCTGTCAGGAGGTGCCAGTCACTGTGAGACCAACATGTAAACGACGACAGCGAAAGCCAAGAGTCGAAAGCGATCAGTGCAATCGCCATGCCAATCGAAGTCAGGGTTTCCCTTCCCCGACACGTAGACCCATTGCACCTAGCTGGTGGAACCGGAAAAGTTCTGCCTTTCTCATGCTTTGGGCAACTCTAAGTGCAGTACAATTGCCACCAGCGCCACTCGGCGACCTTCAGGAACAAACATGAACAGCAGCAAGAATTCTTGGAAACTTGTTTGTGAAAAGTAAGCTGTCAGAGATTCTTATATGAACTCTAGTGAATTTGCTGCTTGTTTTTGCAGTTTTGTACCGTTCTCGCAGCACCAGTTTGGCCTTGCATGATCGCCATTGAGAAACCTGAGAAAGGCAGAGACAAAGCAAACTGATGGAAGTAGAAGCTAAGGCAGCTAAGGTCTGAGCCTAGTCTCGTAAGACAGGCTGACTGGTTTGAGCCAAAACGCTGCTTGGTTGAGCTTGAAAGCCGAGTTCAAGGCCTAAGAGTTCTTAAGTCCTATTTGGATTGCGGCCATCAGGCCTTACCTGAAAGCATCACAGAATGCTGATCCCAAGAAGCAGAACTAATTCAACGGTACCACTTTGCCCCAGCCTCAGGCCTGCTAGGCTCGTCCAGGACTTGCTGCTTGCTTAAGAAAATGCTGAGGGCGAGGAGCATTCGAAGATTGGAACCGTCTGAGAAAGTTGCCTAGTGCACAAATGTGTCACTTCATCAATGCTTCAATGACTCTTGCTACAAAGGAGCGAGTCTCTTTCTATTTATTGATAAAAAAACATATACTTTTATACTTCTGAAAACAAGTGCTTGCACAACAGAGTATCAAGATTCCACCGAGTTATAACGACGAAGGTGCTTAGGTGCTTCCTGCAGTTCGCAAAACCCTGAATTGAGCCAAACTGCTGAGAGATGAATTTATATCTAATCTCTTTCTTTTTCTGCCCGAGGCCCCGTCTCCCTACTTCAATTAAGTAAGGGCGACTAGTTCGCTACTAGCTACTGGTTAGCTTCTAGTAAGTGGACGCAGGATAGCTCACGTACTAATGATTTGGTTCCTGGATTTTTAGGGAATTTAATTTTAAAATGCATTGATCTTTCTAGTTTTAACTCAGTGCACTTTGCAGATACGACCCTTTGACTCTCTTTGGACATGTTGTATTCATTCAAGTTGTCAGCGCAGCTGGACAAACTTGGACAAATGGCCACATATAGATAGTTTATTTACAGTAAACAACCATCATGATTCTTGGCAGGCTAGAAGGGCAACTTTGTACTCGGGGACTAGCTTGAGTCAACTGGCAGTCGCGGCATGCATTTGTACTCAAGTGGCGGGAAAACACTTTTTGTCTGTCCACTTTCTTGAAACTGATGAAACTTTGCTCACGCTTTCGCACACCGTACCTGTCAATGATAGGGGCTCGCTCGGGGACAAGTTCTCATCAAGCGGAAACCCTTGCTTGCCGCGGCTCAATGAAGTGTCGAAGCCAAGGCTTTTCGAAGGGAGAATGAATGACGTACTATATAGTTACTTTGGCAACTTTCTCTAGAAGTCTCTTCTTGTGACTATTTTTCACTTTTGTGCAGCCCCGACAATGAGATTGAACTCTCCGATTCCCATTCCCCTAGTGCTGCAGAACTCCGTGGCAGACTGTAAATCTCTGCCAACCTTCCACAACCCTGCTATTGCGTCTCGCATCCTGATTCCGCTCCCCAATGGCAGGGTGGTGTAAGCTACCTCCGAAAGACCAACCAGAATTGGGTTTAGGGTTCTACCCCGCACCCATTGGACGCGTTCCGGACTGGTTTACCCCCTGACTGCTCTCTTGCTTACTCGCACACGACTCGATCACACACAAGCTAACTCCAACTCCTCGTAACTTTATGACTGCTGAAGTTTACTTATGTTGTTTCTTTCACTTGTGAAGTTCTGGGAGCACATATGCATCCACCACAGGGCCACATCGAAGCTGGTCTCCACCCGGTGGCGCTGCATAGCAGCGCTCCACCTGGCTCCAACTCGAAAGGCTATTGTGACGGATAGCTTTTGCCTGCAATAGTAGGCTCATTTGTGATACTTGTGTCTGTACTCATGTTTACTCATGTGTGCTTACTGGCAGGTTCTCCTGACTTCACACATGTGACTTTGTGGATCTCTTGCTATCGATCCAGGCTCATCTCCAAGCTTTGCCTCTTGCTGCTCTGCCAAGCATGGTACTGTGCGCTTCTGAAGCTCCTGTGCCCAACCTCAGCTGGCAAACCAAACATTTCAGAGCACGACGGAACTCAATGGAACTCATCTTGGAATGTGTTGACTTAGACAACGGCTGCCAATCCGTTGGGCAGCTGCCTGCATCGCATGAAAATTAGGTTTCCCTAAAAAGTCGAACCAAACCAATCAAGGAAGCTCCTCAAAGACTTCTTCAAGGAAGCTCCTGAAACCCTTCGCACGCTACTACTTACTGAAGATGGCTGCAGCTTACCTCTGTACCCATCCGTTCCCGCTACCTCTTCAAGGCCTCCTCAAAAAAGAAAGAAAAAGAAGAAAACAAACAGAATGATAGAGGCACTGAGGCAACGAGAGAGAGAGAGAGTATGAGAAAAAAGTACACCAGCATAGACCCCAAATAGCAAAAACATGCAACCTGTCTCCGCCACGTGCACAGCCAGCTCACAGCACCAGCACCAACACCGGCACCCAGCACCAGCACCAGCAACCTGTCTCGAAAATGCGCACGGGCAACTCATTGTTATTTGAAGTAAGAACCCCATAGCTTCACTATCTGGCGAATTGGACAGCGCCCTGCAATGTCAGCGGGTCCAAAGCATTGACAGGAACCTTTTTGACACACTTGGGTGTATCTCCTCTACCCCCTCAATCTACCAACCAAACAAACCAACCCACCTAGTCGGTACAAGGCCACCGATGCTTCTAATCCTTGCCCCTTCCGATGGAGCCCTTTTCATTGCTTCGTCGGGAAGTCATAGGGAAACGCAGGAGTGGCTTCAAGTCCTGCATACACCGTAGGTGCTGAGGTGAAGACGAGATTGACAACAACCCTCCAAGAATCCCTAGCAATGCATAACATGTAAATCGTCCTTAGATGTCCTTAGATATACCTGTCTCCACCACGTGCGCAGCCAGCTCACAGCACCAGCACCAGCACCGGCACCCGGCACCCACCACCAGCACCCGCACCGGCGCCCGGCTCCGGCACCCGGCACCACCGCCACCCTAGCCAGCTCACAGCACTAGCGCCGGCACCCGGCGCCCAGCACCAGCACCCGCACCGGCGCCCGGCACCCAGCACCGGCACCGCACAGCACCAGCACTAGCGCCGGCACGCGCCACCCAGCACCAGCAACCTGTCTCACGTGCACAGCCAGCTCACAGCACCAGCACCAACACTGGCACCCGGCAGCACCAACACCAGCACCAGCAACCTGTCTCCACCACGTGCACAGCCAGCCAACAGCACCAGCACCAGCACCAGCACCGGCATCCGGCACCCAGCACCAGCACCGGCACCAGCAACCTGTCTCCACCACGTGCACAGCCAGCTCACAGCACCAGCACCAGCACCGGCACCCGGCACCAGCACCAGCAACCTGTCTCCACCATGTGCACAGCCAGCTCACAGCACCAACACCGGCACCCAGCACCAGCAACCTGTCTCGAAAACGCGCACGGGCAACTCATTATTATTTGAAGTAAGAACCCCATAGTTTCGCTATCTGGGGAAAAAAAATAATGAAATAAGAAAAAAGAAACACTTCAGCAGTTGCATCAATCTTTTTCAGCCAACTCCAGACTGTCCACGCATTCGCGGAGATGCAAAGCGAGTCAGCCGAGTCAAATCTCGAAGTTCGAGCTGCATGCGTTCCTGCCAAAGGAAGGTGTTACAAGTTGTTCTATCTGTTTCCGTCTTTCCTATTTGAGGTTGTCTAGAAAACCCTCTACCTTTCCCTATACCAATTTGGTCTTATCTGTGTTTTGTCTTTATCCTTTTTGCTGTGCTTGGACTAGCAATTTGTAGTGTACATTCGTGTGCACTACATGCAGTGCTGGGTGGCACTGGTAAACATGACGCCATGGCACAGCTTGTACATGTGCGGGCCATTGAGTCCGAGTATACGGGATAGTGTTTGAGGTTCGCTGCGCTTTCGTTGTTATCGTTAGCTTTCGGTTTTCGTCCCTGGTGCAAACATCGGTTGTCGATTTCGATGCATAAATATACATACTCCAACACAACATTCCTCGTTGTCTTTGTGAAGGAGATGAAACACATATGACATCTCAAGGGTTGTGCATGTGCAGGGTTATCGCATATGTTCCTCCTTATCGTTTCACCGTGGATGGAGCATCCTTCTGGCAAAACGGACATGTGAAACTAAAATGTGTGAGTGGGTTGTTTAAATACTCTATGTGTTAATAATCAATCATTCATTCATGTTATGACATATATGAGTCATAGTCTATAGTGTTGATCCACACAACCCTGTACCACCTTGGAATATACTCATCTTTCCAGAGGCTTGCTCCATAACCAAGCCTTAAGCCTTGAGCAGTTCTTGTGTGTTCTCCCTTGTCACAACGGATTCACAGCCTTCTCGCTGCGGATTTCATTGCATGCTGCCCTCTCTGTTGCCAGAACCTCAAACCATTTTAGGTCGGTTGTGGCAGACTTGATCAGATTCAGAAAAAAGTTCTTCTTGGCATCTGGTCAAACTCAGTCAAACTATATATAACGTAAGTGGCGCTTTCTCAACCCCCTGGATACGGATTGTGAGTAGGTTCCATCAGTTCTATCAGAACGGCTTGCTGAAATATCCTGAAATATCTGTTCAAGTTGCTTGCGACAATCTCTGATTCTCCTCGCTATACTGGGACACCTTGGCAACAAACAACTTCAAAACCGAACTTTGATGCCTTGTGACGGTTGAGAAAAGGCCAAGAGCCACAGGAAAAATAATGTCAGCTGTGGCGGCTTGACAGAATAACCGACTTGTCAGCTTGACAGAAGGCACCTTCTCTTCGATCATGTGCATGCGGTGCAACGATGATTCGCCCTTTGCCGCAAGTTCCAATCCTTCTCGTTGTTGGCGTGCAGCCTTTTCTAAATCTTCTGTCACAGAAAGAAGGGCTTGCTCAACCTGCAAAATAGATCGGAGGACTCACGTAGAGCTTCGGACAAGTAACAAGAAGCTACTAGGAGCAAAGGGCATCGCTACTAGGAGCAAGGACACTACTAGGCGCTCCTGGCCTTACTACTAGGAGCAAGGACGCTACTAGTAGCTCCTGGCCGTACTACTAGTAACAAGAAGCTGATCACATGGTAGCAACAATAGACTTTGGCCCTGCACACCTTCTTCCTGTCCTCGTCTGCTGCTTCGCAGGCTTTCATCGCCTCAAAGGCTGCCATCCTCAAAAGTCGGTCATGTCATGTCTCTCAAAAGCAAGAGTCTTGCTGCAAAGTAGTAACAAGTGCCACGCTAGTAGTAACAGGTGCCTTACTAGTAGTAACAAGAAGCTAGTAGAAACAATAAGCTAAAGACATTGGTTGTAATTCCTTGTTCTGAATCCTTGCTGAGATGTCTCGCCCAACCCTTCCCAAAATGCTAACGGATCAAATAAATGCTAACTCTTTCATACTCTTTCTTTGGGTTTTCTATTTGCGTCTTCAGAATCCACGACTTTGGAGCCCCTTGCCGGGTATGCTCTCACATGAGATGCGGCACCGCATGAGATGCGCCAAGGTGCTCTGCTTCCAAGGACTGCTGATGTGCAAGCTCCCTTTCTTGCTGAGCTCTTCCTGACACACGCCTGGCTTCGGCCAACTCGCTGAAAGCCTCCGCCTCGGCGTAGGACATTGGACCATCGGAAAGGCCGTGACATCGTTCGAGTAGTTGGATGATCTGTCACTGAGTCATGCTCAGAATTTAGACTTCCAAGAATGAGCTATCGAACAAGCTCAATTATATTACAGTATACAAAACGCCTTGTCCTTGGTGAGCTCCTGGGTCAAGATTCTTGCCCGGTCTAGCTCAACCGCTGCTAACTCCAGCTTTTGTGAAGCCTGTGCAAGAAAATGAGCAGGAAGGAGGGTCGAAAACAGTTTCGGAAAGCATGTTTGGGAAACTATGTTTCAGAAACATTCAGAAACTATGTGTCGGAAACTGTGCTTTGGAAACTACAATATCCGTAAAATATGTCTGTCATAAACCGTTACTCGGAAGGAAAAATTGGGACCCACTGGCTGGTTTCGCTTGTTTTGGATCCGAGCCAGGTTTGCGTCGTCGCCACCTTACGTTGGGAACAACATATGATAGGCTCTTCCATTCAGCACACGTCTAGGACTAGGATCATCCTAGGAAATGCAAAACAAAAAGGATAAATAAAACAGGCCCACTTTGCAAGCCATGGAGGGTGGGGGCGGCCCCTCACAATAACAATTTCATTGGTATCACAAGATTGTCATCGCCGATGCAGGTGTGCTTAAACTCGGGTGGATGGTCGGTGATGGGTGGTGGAGGCGGAGGGGTTCTCAGTTACAGTTACAGAACATGATCATCAGTTGCAGAACATTATCATCACTTGCACAACATTGTCATCGGCTTCACTTGTCACCAATTCATTATCATCGATGTACACATGATGCTTTACATATTTGGATGTGTGTGTGTTGCTGCCTGGTTTCTGCATCTTGGAACTACTGATTCAGCAGACCAAAAGTCAATAGAACACCGCAAATTGCAGGCGGTTCTTGACGTTCCGAATTTTTGACTGTGGGGCAAAACCCACGGTTTGCCCTGAATGTTGCATCAAGATATGGCGATGCCAAATCTGAAGTTCAGGGGCCATCCAACAAGTTGCTTCCTTGCGAAGGAAAACGGAACATTATCTTATGTTCGTAGCAATGCCAAGGAGACCTGATCACCACCAATCACAATTTTTTGTTCACAGCAGCGTAGCTGGACATCCAGTCACCAACAACGAAGAATTAGGCACAACTTGGCATCAAGATTGCACTTTCAGTCCACGCAGTGCCAGACAAGTAAATGTGTTTGTCACAATCACAGCTTACGCTGACAAAGTCCGACCCCACCCCACCCCGCATATCGCATAACCATACTCATGCAAGTTCAAGCACAAAACCACATCACAATGTAGGTCGACACAGCCCCACCCCTCACCCAATATTCATTGACACAAGTAGTTTCTGAAAGGTAGTCTCAGAAACATAGCTTCTGAAACACACATTAGTTTCTGAAACGTTATGTCTGAATCGCCATAGTTGAATATACCTGTTTATTCACTTATATAGTGTAAATTATATTACAGTATATATTGATCGAACCGATGCTTGCAGAAATGCTTTACAAATGGCTGTCCACCACCTGCTGCTCTGCCGTTGAAAGTGAGGCTTGTCGAGATGTGAGGTCTTGGTCCTCTCTGGCCAGTCTGATGCGCAAAGCCAGGGCCTCGCAAAAGGTCTCGTCACCCTTCGGGGATCGTTCCAGCTAGCCAGGCAATCACGAAAGGATGCATGAGAGAGTAAAAGCAATGGTTAGGGATTCTGTACTTAGAAAAACAATGCCGAACGAAAAGAACCTGTGCCTCATCTGCAGCTTGTGCAGCCTCGTTTCGAAGCAGAGTGGCTTCACGAAGCTCGTCGTTGGTTCGCTTCTCCTCAAAAAATGAAAAACTGAAGGAAAAAAAGCAAAGCAATGTATAGAGCAGCTAGAGACTTTTGGTTGGATGGGCACAACGAATGCAAAAAAGACATGCGTTCAATTTACTCAGTTCGAAGTTGTTGGTTGAAAGGATCCGAAAGGACAAATTCCATCGGAGCTGGCACCGAAGCACCTTGTGGAGGAACTCGACTTGCACATTTTCGAAAAGGGACCTGCCCAGAACATGAGAGAAAAGGTTGTTGCAAAGCAATGCGAAACATGAGAGCAAAGCAATGGGTTCTAAGAAAACTACCTTGTTTTTTCCCGCTTCTCGATGCTCTCCAGCTTGAACTCGCACTTGTCAAATGCTTCTGACTCTGCTCTGACATAATCCTGAGCCAATAAATCTTACATATGAAGGCATAATAAAAGCATGTGAAAGCTGAATGCATATGCTGATACAGATACATGCAAGCCCTTGGTCCCACTCGGTCCTTCATTCGATTGAGCTCATCTGCTGACTTGCTCGTTTTCCCTGCTTCCTCATCCTTTCACGCTTGAGAATATGAAAACTGACAACCAGTGACTGTAAGTCCCATTCCCTTCAAACCGGAGCGATGTGCACCCTGCCTCTACAAGTTGCAGCGTTCTTTGCGCTGCTGTTGTGGCCATTTCAGTGACTGTAAGTCTCTCATGTGCCTTGTTCACCTGGCATCCAAAACAAGTGCAACAACACACCTCTCTTGATCAAAAGATGTGCAACAACACACCCGGAATCTGAGGTGCTCTGTGAGTCTTAGACAAGTTGTATTGCTGCATCAACCGGCTTGAATGGCCTCTTCATGCATCAACCCAGTCAATGCTGAGATCCGACTCTCGTGCCTCAGAGTCAAATGTCAGGGCACTGGTAAACTCATGACGAGCACAACATGAGAAGTTCTACATTGGGAGTGTAGCTGCGGTTGATACTGCGATTCTAATGCAGATCAAGAAACTGCTCTTCTTTGCTTCGGCGTTCCAGCTGCGCAGTTCGCAAAGCTGCCCTGGAATCTTCCAGTTCAATGCGCAGCCTGCCTGCCTCAACAAGAAGCGTGTGGGCCAATAACTGAACATGCGAAGTTTCTTATTAATGGTGCCCAAACACTTTTATGTTGCGTTTCCTTTCTCGTCCTTTCTCTTTCCTTCTTTCTCTTTAGCTCTCTTTCTTTGTATATATGTGTCTTTCTTGATTTGTTTTATGTGTCTGTCTGTCTTTAGTTATTTTCTCTATGTGTATGTCTGTATTTTCTTTGTATGTCTTTATGTTTTGATTTATTCTTTTCTCTCTGTCTTCCTTCCTTCCTTCCTTCCTTCCTTGCTTGCTTGCTTGCTTGCTTGCTTGCTTGCTTGCTTTCTATCTATCTTTCTTGCTATATCTATCGTTCTTGTGTTTCTTCCTTCCTTCCTTCGTTGCTTCCTTCCTTGCTTTCTTTCCTTTCTGCTTCCTTTCCTTCCCTCCTTCCTTCCTTCTTTCTGTCTGTCTTTCTTTCTTTCTTTTTCATCAGCCTCACTTTCAAACTCTGCCAGCTCGGACTTCAGCCGAGTGGAGTTCCGCTCTTCCAGCGCTTGAATTTGCTTCTCCTCGAAGGCTTTGATGACGACAACGAAAGCACCCTCCAAGAAGCGAATCCCCGGCCTCTCCGTTTCGTTGCTCCTCCTTGGCAATGCTCAGCTCCAGTTCCTTCACTTTACGCTTAAAACTTTTGCATACCTTCTCTTCCTCATCCAGTTCATCCTCCAACTCTGCGATGTCCTTCACCGATTGTCATTGCTCATCCAGCGTCAATCCCCAAGGAAGCTCGAGAATGTACAGAAGAGAATGGTCTAGGAAAGGATGCGATGTAAGTTTAAAACGTTCTTGCTCCCAGACTTTCTATCCACCAGAGCTCTCCCAGTCGCTGCTTATCATTCTTTCTCCACTTACGGTAAGTGCGGCTTTTCTCTACACTTTTGGCGCTCTGTTTCTCTCCTGCTCTTGTCGCCAACGGATGGCATCTTGTTGGACGGCCTGATGATGCGCAGCAAGAAGCTCCGAGGCCAGGTCCGCACCTTGCCTCAGCGTTCTGTTCTTTGTTGCGCTGTGGGAATATCGTGAAGGACACAGTGAAACAAGGAATCTCCACAAAGCCTCAGATGCTTTACATTTACAGTCATCGTGATCATCAGATCTTAAGAATCTGTTCAGTTGGCCACTAGTGCCACTAGACTAGACTTGAGATTCCCTTTCCAGAACAAATACTTACATGGTGAAGACTGGCGACTCAGCTGGGGGTGTAAGGATGCTTTCAAGGCAAGCGTCTCTTGGGCTGCTTTGTGGGCATGCCTTTCCAATCAGGAGGAGACAGCGAGTAGAATCTAGAAGAAGTGGCTGACATACAGGGTTCGTTCCGGATCCAGCTCCCTCGCATTGTTCGAGATAACATTCATTCGTTCTCGCTTAAGTTCTCGCATTTGGAGTGCCAAGCAGCAGTCGGCCTTCCAATGTGGTGCTGACCCAGCCAACATCGCCTGAACTATCTTGGACACGAAGCCGCGACTTGCTTCGTCCATGCCCCAAGACCAGCAACCGAGCAGAATGAAGGCCTTTGTCAAGAACGTATGTGTCAGCAAGTGCCGAGGGTACCCCAGCAATAGAATCCACTGGAAGCCACTGCTAGGATGGTCGTTGCTTCTCGTGTCAATGTATTTTGCATGTTGCTCTTGCACGCCTTTGCTTGCTCCAGGGATATCCTTCTTCTTGACGCTACTCAAGTCTTCCTTCTCTGTCATCACAGCTGAATCTCGCCTCGGTGAAAGGCTCGGTGAAGCTCTTAAGCTCGATAAGCACATAGAGAGTTGTTTGATTGAATTGGCAATATCAGCGTAGCGTCCTTGGTCCTAATATGGCCAGGAGCCCCTAGTAGCGATGCCGCTCCGAAAGGAAATCGTCCGGAGGTGAAACGATGTTTCACGAAAGACTTCGACAGAACTTCAAAGCGAAGGACATGCTCTCATTGCAACTTGGTGGCACCCAACAGACACTACCTTCAGGAAAAGGCTCTCCTTCGACACCATGCATACTTGCAGCAAGCCACAGGTTGACCTCGGTGATGGCAAAGGAACCGCTTAGACAGACTGCAGGGCTGGAAGATGCAGCATCTTTGAAGACACCCTGAAGCGTATCTGTATATTATTGTATATGTATGAGGTTCCCACAGAGCTGGAGGGCTCGGAAGTATCACTCACGACTGTCACCTGCAAACTTAGCAAGTTCCCTTAAAATAAACACGTGATGTTGAATGTGGTATATATCATATCTGAATGTTCAAGGAGAAAGCCACAACATCCTTCTTACTTTGCCACTTTAGCATCCTTCAGCTTCTTTCACCTCGTTGTTATATGGCCCATCGCCAAAATACAAAGCAGCAACTTGATTGAGGGACTTGCTCGTGCCTTTGGAGAGAGTTCCAACAGCTTGTCCTGCAGTTCTCAGAGCAACTTGTGAGATTAACAAGGCAATCAAAACAGAAAGTCCAAAATGTGATGAAACAAACGAGGCTGAGAGTGGTTCACAATTGGAATTCCCTTCGGGATCCTACGGATGCATATGTACGGTGTCTTGAAGACTATATAACATGTTGCTAAACCGCTGATCTGACGAGTCCTTCTGAGACCAAAGATGTGTGAATCTTCTTGCGAAAACCTGCAATACAGACTTGGCCAATTGAAACTGGAAAGCCAAGGAATGGATTCATGGTGAGAGCTCCCAGTGGGTTTCGCCAGCCTCTTTTCGCAGCTCCCCACTCTCCACATGAAGTATTTCTGCACAGCGTTTGATGGCTTCTTCTGAAAGATCTCCAGAGCCGCCAAGCTTCTGCGAAACAAAGACAAACATAAAAAAATATCACACTTCTGGGCCATGGCCCACAGGAATATATATATATATATTTCTATCGTCGTGCGTCAACCTCAAAGGTCCTGATGTCTGCATTCTGATCGATTGCATATCATAAGGCATTCCTATGGCTCCTGAGTTTGTAGCTTCTGATGCAGTACCGTTCCTACATCTTCTCGTGCAATGGGCCTTCACAGGAGACATGTGACATGTAATGTAGATGGTCCAAGACCAGCTAACTCTTCTACAAGGACACGGGGTGCTTGGTGAGTGCCATTGTAATGGGTCCATGCATGTTTCGGCGTCCATCCCCAGTTCTGGACAAGGGAAACTCCGACCATAGCTCATGTGAAGCGGCGTCAAGCTACCCTCTCAACCACTGGACAACTATAACAAAGGGCAAGTGCTCTGTCGCCCAACTGCGCATGTCCCCAAAATAAACATCACAATGCTATGGCCTTGTGCTAGAGGCCTTCTTCCCTGTGAAAATGGCCTTGTGAAGGTGAATGAGAAGACTTTCAAGCTCCGTCTGGTCCAAATAGCCATTCTCGTTGGTGTCGTGTGCATCCCAAAGACTGCGAACCTCCAGAAGAGATTCCAAGACTAAATGACTGACTTGTTGAAAAGGCAATGGCATTTTAAAGTTCCTCGAAGTCCATGACGTCCCAGTCTTATTCATAGATGTCCATGAAGGCGTGGAGCGCACCGGCTACACAGATTCCCGTTCCCTCCTCCACAGATCTTCGCCCAATATTCGACGACATGCAGGAGACCCACAAGCCATTGCAAATATCAGCGCAACAAGGAACAGGTGGAGCCAAAGGTCCAAAAACAATAAAAGTGGGAATGTCGTGGCATGCTCTTGACATCTATTCCCCTCATGTAACAGTGCATTGTAGCTTGCTCGACATATGCAGTTGTAACCTGCGATCTTGGCAGAAAAGCCTTGACAGCTTATGGCGCCACACAGGCGATGAATGTTCTTGTGGCTGCGCGCATCTCTTTAAAAACCTACCATTGTTACTAGTAGCTTCTAGCTACTACTAGGAGCAAGAAGCTACTAGGAGCAAAGGGCATCGCTACTAAGAGCAACGCTACTAGAGACTAGGGGCTCCTGGCCTTACTACTAGTAACAAGAAGCTACTAGGAACAAGTGCATCGCTACTAGTAACAAGTGCCTTACTAGTAGTAACAAGGACGCTAGTAGCAACAAGAAGCTACTAGTAACAAAGGACAAAGGACTGCACAAGGCTGCCTCTGCCGCACTTAGCTCTTCTGCACGGAGCTGGCACGGCAGAACGAAGGTATGGGGTACTTCAGGTATGACATGCAAATGCCCTTGTTATGAGAGAGGAGCTACTAGTAATGCCCTTTGCTACTAGTAGCTTCTCGTTCCTAGTAGTAATGCCCTTGTTACTAGTAGCGATGCCCTTGTTACTAGTAAGTTCTTGCTGAATGATACTAGTAGTAACAAAGCCGAAGCAAAACTAAACACAAGAAGATGGCTTCGGCCAGGATTCTCAAGCGCTCTCGCTCCTGGCATGCTTGATGAGGTTCTGCTTCAATGATCTTGAATGCCATGCAAAGCAAAACCACATGCTCTGCTGCGTCAATTTTTAATGCAATGCAAAGCAGGAACTTTCCTATCAAATGGCTTTTGCAAAGCCTCTTGACACTTGTCCCTGCAAGAAATCGAATTAAGATCCGTGCATTTGACAAAGTGTTTTTTGTTCAACTGTATAGTATACTACCTCCAACTAACTCTGGGATCAGCTTGACAAAGAGACCAGGTGCATGGTGCTTGATTTAGTATCCAGTGTCCTTTGTTCCCTTTACAACCTGTTTTGAGAAGTTGTTGTCCCCAAGCATCTTGATCTGCACAGAACTTACTGCGTTCAACTTGTGAGAGGGGAGCTTGGCTCACAAATACTCATGAACATTCCGGATCATTTCGGGTACGTTGCCAGCTTCATCAAATTGCTTACCCACTGCATCGAAGGGGCTCACACCTTCAAGTATCAAAGTGTTCAAAGCAAAACTGCCTGGCCAGCAGTCTGGCAACAGTTCCGAGCATTGATTAAAGGAAAGAGAAGAACGTCAGGCATCGGCGGCTGGCGTTGTCTGCTTGCAAGCGCGAAGGGTGCTCAGCAGGAAACAGCAGAGTGCTCAGATGTTAGAGCAATATGTACTGTATATAATGAGCAGCCTTTACCAAATATCTACTGTAGTAAATTTTAATATATATATATATAAGACAATGTAAGAGCTGATTGGCTATGTCCACTATGACCGGAAATTGGGCTTGACACAGGGTATTTATGGAACAGGCATTTTAGAAAAGGAAATAAATAGCTACAGGCAAAACTAGAAGCTAATGTGCCTTCAATGGACTGCCAAAATTAGGCTCTCTTCTTGGATCTGACCAGGTGCCAAGGCGACACAGATTGTGAGGAAGCTAAAGAGACAAGGTGCTCAGAAAGCTTTTCTTTGATGAGAAATGATAACATAGAAAAGCAGCTCTTCACTTGGAAGCACCGCCCTTCAAGCGCCGCTGCTTCTTTGAAGGTGGTGCCACTACCTGGAAGAGCTTGAACACTGTGCCCGACAAGAGAATAGAATGCGATCAAATGTGCACGGGCATACTGGAGCGAACCTAAATAAGTAAGTGCGAGGACGGACCTTGACCTAACCCAAATCTTATCATTGAGAACCAGCAAATGATTGAGGATCTTGAATCTTGACGGACAAATGAGCTTGTCGACAACATCTTGTTAATACGACATTCATCTACACAGAACCTACATTTGCCACCTCTTTGCCAATCCTGCAAGTGCCTCAATGATGTCTCGCAGCAAAGCCGGACGGCGCTCCACTAAGCGTGTGTAGGCCTCAGCACAAACAGCGTTCCGGGCCGGGATTTTGAAACATGGAGTGACACCTACGCCTCGTATCACCTCGTGGACTAAACTTCCACTTCTTAAATCTAAAACTGCATGCCGTGAACACCCCATCTGCCAGGCCGTGCCCCAGGTGGTTCTAACTGATCCCGTTCGAGTTTGAGTTCGAGTTCGAGTTCGGGTTCGAGTTCGATGCGCGAGATTGCGTAGATCGAGCGAGCGGGGGGTGGATCAGTTCGAGTTCGAGTTCGAGTTCGGATCGACAACAATTAGAGCCGGGGGGGGTGGACCAGTTCGGTTCGAGTTCGAGTTCGAGTTCGGGTCGACAACAATTAGAGCCGGGGGGGGTGGACCAGTTCCAGTTCCAGTTCGAGTTCGAGTTCGGATCGACAACAATTACAGTAGAGCCGGGGGGCTGGACCGGTTCGAGTTCGAGTTCGAGTTCGGCGCGAACAAAGTTAGAGCCGGGGGGGGTGGACCGGTTCGAGGTTCGGATCGGCGACTAAGGGACTTATACAAGGGGGGGTGGACCAGTTCGTGTTCGAGTTCGGATCGACCCACAACAACAGCAACGAGAACCAACGGCAACGACAACAACCACAACCGCAATCGCCACGACCCACAACAAAGAAGAAGAACAGGAACCAACCAAGCTAGCAACAAAGCAATCAACCTGTTGAAAGTATCCGCGCTGCGCAGACAGTCTCATCTTTGCAGCCAACACTTGTTTTATTAGGATCTGGTGCGCTGCTGGGGGGGGGCCTGCCCCCCCCCCCCCCACCCCCCCCCGCGCCACGAAATCTGCACTTCATCTCCAAAACCCGCGCCTGCCACGAAATCAACATTTTAGTGTGAACTCCCTGCGGCAAAAAACCTGCTAACCAACCAACCAACAGCCACCTGCCAGCAGCAACCAACCAACTGACCACAACGTCGCATCCCTTTTGTGGGCCATGCGAGGGTAAAATTTAGAATAGGAAGAAGCCTATTGCAACGTGGCATGCCTTTTGTGGGCCACACGAAGATACAGTTTAGAGTAGGAAAAAGCCATTGCAACGTAGCATTCCTGTCGTGGGCAAATCAAAGGTAAAATGTAGAAAAGGAAGAAGCCATTGCAACGTAGCATACCTTTTGTGGGCCACCCGAGGGTAAATTTAGAGCAGGAAGGAGCCATTACAACGAAGCATTTCTTTTT